CTTGTTATTATTATTAAGTGGTAGAAACTTTTAAAAAACACTTATTGTTATAATTAAAACGTTAAACATATACTAAAATATAAAGTGATAAGATAGATAATTTGCATTTTAAAAAAGGCTTACATGGATAATATGGATAATATGACATATCCATGGTTTTTAATTGATTATTGTTTTGAAGCAACATGAACATACAAACATGTATACAATAGTTAATTAAATATTATATATATATATATATCATCTTCCATAAAATATGATCGATAACATGAATCTAATCTAATTTACATTTAAATTTCAACCACAACATACAATGATATTCTTAAAAGAATACTTAAATCAAGAAAATACAAAAAAGAATTAATATATAACAAACTTACAAATTAAAATTTCAACATAATAACATAGCTCGAAAAATTGTTCAAAGTCCTCAAACCAACACAAAAAAAACTTTAAACTTGTTTTCTTTGTGAATTTTGTATGTGATTTGTATTTATGTGTCTACTCAAAAAGATTGATATTTTTATAGTAGAGTATCCATTAATTGTTTATTAAATATATTATATAAGTTATAACACCTTTAAATTGTTAACTATTATTAAAAGACTTTTGAGTGGTATTCATTAAAATAGGAGGTTTCAAATGCATGAGGTGTTTGCAATATTTTATGGGGGTTTCAAATGCATGAGGTTCAAGGAAAAATATTAGCTTTATAAGTATGTATGATATATATATATATATATATATATATATATATATATATATATATATATATATTTATATCAAAATTCCCAAAGTATCAATTAATATATTTAACTTATAATTACCATATTATATAAATTATCATCTCTACTCTATGCTTTAAGATTAGGAATCTACTATAAGAACCTAATTCACTTGAATCACGACTCGGATACCTACTTGTAACGCCCATGATTTCATACCAAGTACACCAAAAAATGCATTTCTCATTATAAAATTTTTCAATAATATACCTGAAAAACAAATCATTATAACAACAAATCATAAGGATCATATTGGTCTCAAGTACATGATCGAGTCGGGCATCACAATAATATACCTACAAAACAAATCATTATAACAACATAAGCCTCACAACTTAATAAATAACAACAACTAAAATATAATCAAATAAATCACATAATAACTCATTTTCTATATAGCTTTTAATTTATATCAATTAGTGGTATTCTCATAATTAACATCTCAATAATAATCTATCAGTCATTCATAATATATCTTTAAATTAATAATCTACTTTTCAGTTAGTAATCTATTTATCAATCGTGATCACTTTCTCGATTAAGGATCTCTCTCTCTCTCTCTCTTTATATATATATATATATATATATATATATATATATATATATATATATATATATATATATATATATATATCAAGATCAATCTCTCATTCACAAGTAATTTATCAATTAAGCTTTATCTCTCAATCAATAATCTGTCTCTCAATTGATGATCTAATTCTCATCAATGATCTCTTCTAGTCATAATGTATCTCTCACTATCATAATCTATCTTTCTCAATATTGATTAATATCTTTTTCCTAATCTATCACTTATTCATGACCAATCCATTAATCATGATCTATTTGTTAATCGTAAATAATCTATCAATTTTAATGTATTTCTTAATAATTTTCTAACTCATAGTAATGAATAATTTCTCAACAAAATCAATTATTTAGATATATATACAATTCAAATATCGCATATCACAGAGATCATAAATATTACATATATCAAAAAACTAATATAAGAATTTACTCAAAAATAATCTATTTTTTAGTGTAATCTATCTCATCAATCAGAATCAATATTTCAATCATATATTTGTTCTCTCATAATGCTTGATTTCTCTGGTATCAATTAATTTATCTTTAACAATTAACCATATAAATCTTGTAATGTATAAAACATAACACATAAATGAATGTTAGCGTAGTGTTCCTCACCTGGTTAGTCAGCAGACTTATTCTAGTTCTGATTTCAATCTTTTGATGCCTATCAGCTCGTCATATGGTAGCACCTAATCATCAAATAACAAGTTTCTCAAAACTTATCACAATTTATTACTAGCTATCCGCCGAGACCTCTTGTCACCAAACTAATCAAATTTCATAATTTAATCACAATAGACTTAACCCGTAAGCCATCAGCTAAATCTCTCATAATGGGTATTTCTCAAATATCAGGGTTTATAACCCTTACAGTCTCGACTAAATCTTTAGTTGTGATATTTACTCACTAATCTTACCAACGTGTTCGTAACATCATATCACGAATATCCATAATACACTCGTATCTATTAGATCTTAATAATAATCAAATATCGTAAATACAATTTAACGGGTAAAATATACCTCAATGTATCCTGTAACTCGACTCTGTATCATCCGTAAACGACTCCTGAGCAATGTCTCTGATCCCACGTGCCAAAACTCTCTTAAATGACTTGAGACTCATATATTTATATCACATCATGACCATCTATGTGTCACGTCGTGACAATCAAATTTACCATGATTTTCGCCATGTATTACACTCTCCCACCAATTGTCTGGGTGACTTGCCTCATTTCATGTTGTGACACATCTATTGTCACGTCGTGAATATCGAATAAACTCCATCTCGTCACATATCACTCTCTGGGTGACACATGTAAATATTTTTCATTCCTTGCCACGTGGTGAGCAATATACATTCACATTGTGAGGATCAAAAAGTTGACTGCTGACTTTGACTTTCGTTGAGTTTCTTAAAATAACAACGCACTTTCATTTAAACTTCAAATGGTCATAACTTTCTCATACGAACTCCGTTTTCGACGATCTTTATATCTGCAAGTTCCTCTTTAAATGATCTATAACTTTCTCAACTCCATTTTTCTAAACAACAAATATCCAATTTCAAGTAACTCCAAACTTTATTTCACCTACTCGCCTTATATCATCTTATATATTCTGAAGTGATATCTGGTTACGAAGGACATGTATTACAAAAATATTACAAACTGTTTTAAATATTCATAAAATATTAAGTTGACTTTTTTTGATAAAATCATAAATTTATTTTTTGAACACAAAGTCCAATTATTTTAGGAAAATTACATAATATATCATTTCTTGTTCAAATAAAAAAAATGAATTTTTCATAAATTTGGACAAAATATTAAAAATATATATATATATATATATATATATATATATATATATATATATATATATATATATTCGTTAAAAAAAGATTTATAACTTTATCAAAAAATTTCTAAAATAGTAAAACCTTTCTGCATAAAATTCTTATCTAATTTAAGTTATTTTTTTCCTCTATAAAAAAGAAAACGTATAAAGTCAAATATCATAAATAAAATAGTTCTAAAAGTTGCTATTTCTAAATAAAATGCTCTAAAATAAATATCTATAAGAAGTATTTATGATATTTTTTATAAATAAATATTTCTAAACAAAATGTTCTAAAATAAATATATATATATATATATATATATATATATATATATATATATATATATATATATTCCATTTTAAATATAATTACAACATTAACTCAAAATTTGATCAGGTAAACAGGTTAGACCGAAGTTATTATGGTATTTTTGTTAAACACATTAACTCAAAATTTAAGTTGTTCATTACCTTATTATAACAATTTTCAATTTTTTATTTCTCCAACGGCTTTTTAACACATTACATAATTTTATTACCAAATTCTAACCTTTTAACTAAACGGGTCGGAGGAATTGGGCCTACTAGGCGGTTGACAAATTCAACGCCCAAACGCGCGCGAAATATCGCAAACGTAAACCCTTTCTACATATCACTTCGCCATCTATCTGGATCAGTTTCTGTAATCAACATGTAAGTTATGCCTCAAAACTTTTTTTTATGAATTTGGTCCTACGACTTTACTTCCTTCATTATATATTTATATATATACCCCCCTACTGTAATTTGCTTTGATGTTCTGTTTGATGCTTTCGAGTTTAGGGTTTTATGTTCGGACTCGAATGAGATTCAGGCCGTCGAATAATCTGCTTGATCTTGAGGATAAATGAAGTTGAATCAAAGGGAATTCGATCTCATCCATATGCAATTTTTGTATGAAATTACAAATTTCATGTTTTCTGTGTTTAAATGACCAATTGTTGTATATTAACCTCTAATGTTATGAGATTTTATATGCGTCGTTGTAGAAAAGTGTGAAAAAAATGCATTAATGTGGATTAGTTTATTTATTTATAAGTTTGCTGGGATGATTGATTCACTAAAACCTTGGTTCTGTTAGATTCATTTTAGTCTTGTGTTTTACTTATGGAGGTGTAACTTCATAAGATCCTTACTAATGCAACATACGTCAAATAAGATCACATTCCTATTGGTTTTTCCCCTTTACTTCCTAATCTAGAGTCTCTTAGTTGCAGTTAAGCCTTATGCTGTAAACGCTGTTTTCTTTTAAAGCCAGCAAGGCATCACAGAATGTTGGGACTAAATAGGGCAAGTAGCGTGTGGTTTCTCTCTGTTTTAAGTAAAAAAACACAAATATAAGAATATGACATCAACAAACTGTAAACCAGAAAGTGACAGAGATAAGAGTTTTGTAAGTAAACTATGGGTTGTGTATTAGATTCTTACCCAAGAGAGTGAAGAAAGGAAGAATTATGATGATATCTCCAAATACGGTAGTAAAATATTGTCCCATTTGTATCTTTTGATGATAAAATATAAGCTTCTTTTGTCATACTAGCTAGTACAGCCTCTTATTATCCACTAAAATGATACTAGCCAATGATAGTAACTAGTACAGGCTCTTATAACTACCAAAATCTTTATGAAATTACATGTGAATCTATTTACAATACAAAAATTCAACACATCTATGTATGACAGGTGCTAAAATCCATATATGCAGAATATAATATCTAGATTTACTCATTTACATTATTAAGAAGATAGTAAAGACCCATAGCTAAAATCTGTACGATTAGCAAGAATCCGTATCAACATATCTAATACCTCTTTCATATTTGGCCTCGCCTGAGGTGCTTCCGCAGTGCATCTTATTCCAACCCGAAGCAATTCACACATTTCCACCGCCCCCTCACCACCACCACACACCAGGCCCGCCACCGGAATCATTGACTGCCGCCCATCTCCCATCACCCGTTTCGCCCACTCCACCAAACACTCCTCCCCTCCATCCACCGCCCGCCGCCCTGTAGCCAACTCCATCACCAACACTCCATAGCTATAAACATCCCCTTTCGTGGTGGCTTGCCATGTCTGGCCATACTCCGGCGCCACGTATCCGATTGTCCCCGCCACCATCGTGCTGACGTGGCTATCTCCGGCGTCCATCACCCGGGCTAGCCCGAAATCGGTAACCCGGGCCTTCCCGGTTCTATCCAACAACACATTACTAGCTTTTACATCTCGATGAACGATCGAAGGGTAACACTCGTGGTGTAAAAACACCAAAGCGTGGGCCACATCGACTGCAACATCGATACGTCTTCTCCAATTGAACCCGGTTTGATTTTGAATTAGATCTTCTAAGGTCCCACCATCCATGTACTCGTAAACAAGAAGTTTTTCTGACCCGTATAAACACCACCCGTAAAGGGTTACCAGGTTCGGGTGGGGCCACCCGAATCCGTTTCGGGTCAGAACCTCCATTTCTGCCCGAAACTCTCGTTCACCTTCCATACCCTCTCTTAGTTTCTTCTTTATTGCTACTTCTCTTCCATCAGGTAATACACCTCTGTAAACAGTTCCGAATCCACCCCTCCCGATTATTCTATCGTTTGAAAAGTTTCTTGTGGCCTTCAAAATGTCTGCGTGTGTGAATGCGGTTTTGTCCAATCGGATTACCTTAACTGTGTCTGATAACCATGGTGAGGAGCTGCCGGAGTTGGAGGTGAAGCGGTGGCTGGATTTTATTAGATATGGTGGTTCATCGGTGGGGTTTTTCATCACTATGCAGACTAGTATTGTCATGACTCCACACACAGTGAAAGCTAGGAGTAGAAACATGAACACCAAAACTGCGCCCCATTTTCTTGGATTTGATCTCCGGCCACCCTTTGCAGATGTGGCGTTTGTTGAATTATCTATAAAGGAAGGCAGATCTAACAGTGGGTCACCGTAGAATGATGATTGCTCGAAAGTAGCTAACTGGCCGATTGACGGAATTATACCAGAGATGTACGGATTGTAGGAGACGTTGAACTTGCTTAATTCAGTTAAATCGTTCAAGTTGGTCGGAAACGTACCGGAAAAGTTATTGTAAGACAAATCAAGATTTCTCAAACACTTGAGAAAGCCAATCTGCATGGGGATTCGTCCTGAAAATTTATTACGAGTAACATTCAATACGACAAGTGGCATTTGCCCAACTTCGGCAGGAAGGGTACCGGAAAATTCGTTATTCCCCAAATGCACCATACTGAAATTATCCATCCTCACAATTTCAGGCGGGATGTGGCCGGATAATCGGTTTCCACCGAGTTGAAGATACCCAGATATCTGCTTTGTCCGAACGTTCGATCCGGGGAGGCAAACTTGAAAAATTCCGTGCCCTTTAAGTAAATTATCCCATAAACTCCTGCAAGTCTTCCTGTTAAGAAGTGTGTAGACGAAACTGAAGGGTGGATAATCTGCAGGTAGCCATCTTCTCATCGCCGAACACTCTCCGGAGCCTGCCAGGGGATTGTTCTCTCTGTTTAACAGGAAAGTTGGTGTCGCATTCTTCCCTATGTTAGCCAACTCCGGTGAAATTGAACCGGAAAGTTGATTATCTGCAAGATTCAACCACAGCAAGCTGCTACAGTTGCCTAACTCCGGTGGGATTTGACCCGTTAAGGAATTGTTAGCGAGCATTAACCACAATAGAGAGGTCAACTGTCCGAAATTTGAAGGGATTGACCCGTGTAGGTTATTAGCTGACAAATCGAGAGCTTGAAGTTGTCGCAAATTTCCAAATTCAGAAGGTAAACTCCCGGAGAAGCTGTTGCCAGCGAGAATTAAGTACCTCAAACCTGCCATTTGAGATATTTCCGGTGGTAATGGACCCGAGAGATTGTTGAAACTCAGGTCTAATCGTGAAATGTTCTGCAACCGGAGTATTCCCGATGAATTTAATCCGCCGGTGTATCCGTTTGCGTGGAGGAGAAGGTTTTTCACTTGAGTGAATCGTCCAAAAATCTCTTGTATATCTCCGGTGAAATTGTTCCGACTAAGGTCCAAATTTTTCAAATTCGTCAACCCTAGCAAAGACTCTGGAATTTCTTTGGAAAGAGAGTTGTTTCCCAATAAAAGTTGCTCGAGTTTTGTAATTAGTCCAATCTCCGTTGGAATTTTATCGGTGAAATGGTTCCCGGAGAGGTCCAAGATCGTCATGTTTTTACAATTCGAAATCTCCTTCGGGATTCCACCGGAAAATGCGTTTCCGGAGAGGTCCATCGCCTGTAAAGTGCAATTTCCCTGGAAAATCCATGCAGGGAGGGTGCCGTTGAGGCGGTTTTCAGAAACGGAAAGCTCCTTAAACCTATTGATTCCGAACCAGAGGTTTCCGGTCAAATGATTCGAACTCACATCAATGTATTCCAACTTCGGGCATACGTCCATAGAAGTCGTTATTTCTCCTGTGAAATAATTCGTGGAGAGATTAGCAACCACCAATCCGTTGCAAACCCTGGGGAAACTCATCATGATGTCGCCGGAGAATCTGTTCATCGATAAATCGAGAATTTGCAGGCTGGTGAGTCCGGTCAAATTGAGCCCGCCACCCATAATATTATGTGACAGGTTCAATACTTTGAGGTTCCGGCAACTGGCCAAGTCGGGTGGTATGCTGCCGTCAATAGTGTTTGTAGATAGGTCTAGGTGAGTAAGCTCTGTCAAGGCGGAGAAGTTCCCGAATAAATCACCGGCGATGTCGTTGTCAGGGAGGCTGATCCCTGTCACTCGGTCGCCGGAGCATGAAATTCCCGGCCACGTGCACGGCGTCTGGGATTGTGGGTCCCATTTGTTATACTTTCCTTGATTCACTTTGTTCTTTTGTTCCAAAAATAACCTCAGATTGAGTAGCACTTCCTTGTCGGAATCAAGCGAGTCTCCAATTGCATCCTTTCCTGAAAAAAGAAAAGGAATTCGCATTAAATTCAACCCCACTCTGTAAAATCTTTCTCGAATAACTAAAACATCATAAAATTCACCCAGTAGGTAGTTGCACCTGCGATTAAAATTAAGAAAAGGATCATTGCAATCCTCTCTGTTGCCATGGCTACTGTAACATGCTCCTGCTGCTGCTCCTACTTGTGTTCTTCTTCTTCGTTAATGATTAGTTTAAGAGGTTCGTATTTAAAATTAAATTAACAAAATAAATTAAAAAATGAATTAAATAGAGAAGGTGGAGAGAGAGAGAGAGAGAGAGAGAGAGAGTATATGTACAAATATGAGACTTGAATGGAAACAGAAAGCGCGCTCGCAAATGGACCAAACCAAACACGGAAGGAAAGTTATGCGAATACGCCAGACTTTGTATACTTTTTACTTATTTAATTTTATCATTTTATGAATATATCAAATATTTGTATATGTAATATGGTATAATAATATAATAATAGATAATATATGTAAATTAACGGGTCGTTTTTTGGTGGATTATTCATTGTAGCGTAGGGGAAGGGAAAGAAAGATAGAAAAGGCAATATGGGCCCAAACATTGTGTGTATGCATTTGTTGTTTAGAGATTATCTTGAAATAGAGATTAAAAGAAAAGGTGTCGATATTACATAAAATTTCAGAAGCTGTAACTTGTTTTATACGTTAAAAACAAACTTTTAGTGTATACTGTATACAATTACAAATACTTCAGGAATTCAATTGTTACAGTATTGGCAGACCTACCAAAATGGTTATAGTTATCCAATATTAATTTGGGTAAAATTAATAAATGTACTTTTAATTTATCCAAAATTAAATATTTTAAATTTTACTTTAATTGTTTGGTTTTGAAGTTAAGATCTACGTAACTTTTGTTCGACACCTTTTCCTAGATATATGTTGAATTATCGGTCAAAAATGCTCAATTTTAAATCTTTGAATGATTTATAGCACATAATACAAATAAAGTGTGCTTGCGCACAAAATCAATCTTGATGAACACCCCAATAATAGATTAGGTCTCTGTATTTAAAATTTATGCCTCAAAAATATATTTGGATTGAATTTTTGTGATTATCAATAGTTGCACACACATCATATTTTGAATGGTCTATGTGTCCTGCTATCAAGTATAATCCAGTCCATTGATTTCCTTAGAAATTCTTATAAATATGTTTTTGTTTTTAAAAAAGGTTTTGGGTATTATTTCAAATGGTATATGACATAAACCACATAATATAAAAATTTAGAGAAGTCATATGTTTGACAAAGTGGGGAAGGTGAGAAAGCCGCCCGTGTTGACAGTTGACTGCATGTTCGCATATAGGATGTAAAACCAAATTTAATCATGAGTATGTTGCCTTTTTTTTTTCTTAAGCATATATGTAATATATGTTGCTCTTATTCTTGTTAGATTATTTTCTAATCGGTTTTTTTAGTCTACCTTTCATTTAATAGAATATAGGTTACACCGTTACACCTATACTTTTTTGTATAAAATATTTTTGAAACTTAAAATTCATCGTACAAGATAATATACATGCTGCATTTTGAAGAAAAAAAGTTTAATGATATTAGCAATGAAAATCCGTTGTTTTTAATTCATGTTTGCTAAGCATGACATGGCAACTTGACAAGATAAACCATATTATATAACAGATATATCTATAAAACCAAAATAATAATAATAATAATAATAATAATAATAATAATAATAATAATAATAATAATAAAACCAAAATAATAATAATAATAATAATAATAATAATAATAATAATAATAATAATAATAATACCAAAATAATAATAACCATATTTCTAACGTGTCCATTTCATTTGTTTCCAGCATCATCATTAAACATTGGCAAGTGAGTTACGGAAGGCAACCATCAAATTCAAAGCTAATATACCAAAAAGGTACGGTGTATTTATTTTTTTAAATTTAAATTAAAATTAATAGTTATATCGATACAAACACAACAACTACATGAAACTTTATGAATATACCAAGTAATTAGACTTCTAGATTAAATTATGATGAAAAGGTAGGTTTTTTTCTCCTTTATATATGTATTTTTTTAATCTCATAAAACCAATAGGTAACTGTAGTTGCGCACACCAAATCAGATTTAATTCATAATTTGCATCGTTTACTAAAGAAATATAAGACCATTGACTATGGTAACAGGATCACAGTTGATAATGATGGAACGCAAATATAATTATTAATTTCTAGTAAATAAATTAAAATTAAAAAAAAAAAATAGTTTATATTTTGTTTCTATTCCCTAGACTTAACTGGGTAGTTTGTAGAGTCGAATTGCACTCATTGTCTGACTGTGATTTGGGGATTTTGTTACACTTTAGATAGCCAATCGGAAATTGCTTCAAATCCTAACATAACAGAACTAATTAGATATGAGACTTAGTTGTTAAAAACTCGCTCCTTTATCAAAATGAGACAAGTTATTACATATTGTTTACTTATTGTTGGATTTGGATATTGTATTATATGATTTTATATCATGCACTTTTGGACTTAGTTTTGGCATATATTTAGGCTAGAGATCTTCATATGGAATTCTCTTATTGGAATCTTTTTTATGTAGTTGAAGTTTTGGGTCCATATATACGAAGAGAAGGATTGTGAAATAGTCCTTATCGTAAAAGGAAAACTTGATACATGCATGTCGATGTCTTTTGACCAAAAAACGCTATTTTATAAGCAACATTAAATCTAATATAACTACATTATCGGATGTATACCTAATGGTGCCACGAGGATATAAAAATTAGTCAAGAAGATATTTTTCTAACATAATATCGTCAGATAGTGACATTTTTTCATAATGAAAATTGAAAACTCCGTTCGTGTGTGAAAAGTGGAAAAGGATGGGATTTGCATCTAAATTCTTATGAAATTTCAAACATGTCAAAACAAAATAATCTTAATATTTAAGTTCGTCAAATAATCGTATGAAAATTTTATTTTCTGTTGTGGTCTCATGGAGTATGCCCACTTATAAATAGAAATAGATATGGACATGGTAAGATACTGGTGCGGAAATATTTGTTAGCATATTCTTCGTTTGTAATTATACAAAATTATGTATTATTTTTCTAATATTTTATTAATTTAATCACCTATTATCTATATTCCTAAACTCATAAACCAGTAAAATCAAAATAATGTAAGATCTTTTATCATGACACAAGAAAAATACAACTAGATTTTATGTTGTAAAGTTGATATGCATAATAAAAAACGTAAGTTACATTGTCTTCTAATTGTCGTTAAACATGACTACATGAAATGGTTTTTTAAAAAGTCGCATCTTTATTTATTTATTTTGAGAGAGAGAGAGAGAGAGAGAGAGAGAGAGAGAGAGAGAGAGGTTGATGTTTATGGAGAATGACCAAGAAGCGGACATTTCTTTTTGGGAGAGTATGTATATACATAAAAGACATGCCAATTATCTCGAAGAGGGTTTTGGTGTCTATTGAAGTAACTAATTATGATGTTCGATGAGGCTGATTTTGGGTTGGATTCCTACAATCCATATCCAAAGATATGAAGATTGATGAAGAAAAGGGACTTAAGGAGGGTGAAGAAAATAAATAAGATAGTGATAAAAGCAAAGAGTTTGAACAAGATAACGACTTTAATCAAAATGTGCAAGATTTGGACGATTATAGACAATAACAGGGACAAACATGACACATAAATGTAAATTGTAAATGATACTCCCAAAAATAATAGTGAAAACAAGTCTAAAAACAAACAAGTAGATGGACAACTGGTTGATGTTATTTGACATGAGAAAATCGAAAATACTAAGAAAATATGAGGTAATTCTATGGAACCAATGACACATGTTATTGAACAATGGTGTTTGATGAAGTCGTGAATGAGTCTAGAAGGGTTGAAGACCATACTTCTTTATCAATATCCATATCACAAGATTTTGGTGGCATTCAATTCCAAAGCACAATAGGTTCTCAAGTTCAGTCGGTTAGTCGGTTACTACTTGGATCACTCTGATGATTATGTTGTTGATTTGCCTTTGAATCACGTAAATTCATACTTTTTTTCTGCTATAATGGTATTGATTAAGAAAAGGAAAATGACAAAAAAATTAATAATGAAATGAATGTATGTTTTAATTAACAACTGAGATTTTACTCATCATACTTTGTGGTAGCAGTGATAGGCTTAGTAAATAGTAAGTAATAGAAAGTAAAAGAAACTCTTTCATTAGCTATATAAACTTAGGACGACTTAAGTTGTCAAACCATAAAAGTAAGGGACCAAAGTCAGCCAATAGAAAGTAAAAGGAACCTTTTTAGTAGCAATAGAAACTTAAGAGGACTTAAGTTATCAAACCACAAAAGTCAGGGACCAAATAGAAATTTAAGAGGACTTAAATTGTCAAACCACTGAATTTGCTATTTAATATAGATATAATATAAGTATTATATGTACTTAGTATCTAGTTATTGTGGAAGGGGAATAAGCGTTTTCAAAATTCTCATTCTGTATGATAAATGTGTATGTTTTTCAAGATGATTACAATAAGAAAGTGGTATGGATTTACAATGTTTCTTTTATGAATACGCGCGTCCAAGTTGTTACAAGTTTTTTTTTAGTTTTTTTTTGTTTTGTTTTGTTTTTTTTAGTGATTACAAGAAAGTGGTATGGATTTACAATGTTGTTCGAGACCTCACAGGGCATTTAATTTTCTCAATACACGACTAATAGTTTTAATGTATTCATTGGTGATGATGTTTGTTCTAAACTATTGTAGATGGGTATAGTTGCATTAGAACCAGTTCAAAGGTGAGATAATGAGTAAAACTGATAGATTTTTGGTTTTTAGGAGGTTCATAAATATCATAATCTCTCCAAATTGGCTTTGGATCATGTTGTTATTTCGGATCATTGACTTATATAAACTGAAGACTGTTGTTTCATATTTTGGTCCAATTCTTTGCAAGTTATTTTAACTTTCAGATGGAAGTGGGGGATTTTGACAAAATTGTGAGTAGCAATTAAAAATAAAGTCAAATATTTAAAAGATGTCATAAAAACTTGGCATAAGGAGTTTTAATCAAAGAAAGATGGTGTTAAAAAATTCCTTATTTTTTTAACAACTTTGACACAAATTATTGATACGGGTTACTCGAATCAGCAGTTAGCTTTGAAACACATTAATTTCCACACAAAAGTTGCATATAATAGAAGGTTGTAAATCTCTAGATGTTACTCAAAAAGTTAAAGTTAAACAGGGTATCGAGGGAGATGAAAAATCTAAGTACTATCACATTATTCTTAATTGGAAAATGAATCAATTAAGTATCAAGGGGATAAATTTAAAT